CGATTTATTTTATGAAGCGAACATTCTTCGTGCCCATACTCATGTATTACAAAAACACATGAAAAGTAGTGGACACACTACGGAGTTTGAAGACAAAGGTACGTTTTAAGACGAGTGCCCTTAAAAATATTTTTTGAGCATTCAGTGTTGATGAAATTTTCAGTGTAGATGTAAATCGAGCTCGACACATTACAGTAAAATTTCCAGTTTGATACCTTGGGCCTACGAGTAGTTACCGTAAGATTATGAGTCGAAATTTAGGTTTTCGTGCGTCCTAATTTTCTCTGCCAATACAAATGCTAGAGAGTTTAACTTCTCGGGTCGAAAGTGCCCAATAGAATCCTATCGGATCCATGAGTTATCCAACATTATCCGACGAGAACGCTGATAGTCGGAAACCTCTAGGTCAAGCTCGGTACGTCGGAACCGATCGGTTCCGTTGAATTCCGTCGATTTCTTTCGGAATCTAACGGAATTTTTCCGACGGAAACTGGACCGGAATCCTGTAGTCAAGAAATCGTCGGAAGTCAACGGAGCCGACCGAAAACCAACGGAATCTATAGGATCCGCTGCCGGAAAACAAAGGAAACAAACGGTTCCGGCGATCGGAACAGTGGACCTGGGCCAGTTATATCTATTGATTTCCGAGGTTTTCCAACAGTCGAATATCATCGGATTCTGACAATAGGATCCGCCGTTATCCGACAACATACGATAACACCGCGTGCAAGTCTGTTAAATTGCTGCCAGTACACCGCGGTCAGTCGACCCTTTTCTCCAATTGGTTTTGATTACTACGAGTTATTACAAAGCAAGTATTAATTTACATAATTAATATTTCTTTTTTCTCCTTATTTAGATTTACTTTAATATCAAAATGATCACTAAGTATTTATTTAAATAAATAAATGTTTTCTTTTTTAGTTAGATTCATCTGAACATCAAAGCGAATAGTAAGTATTCATTTAAATAAATACTTTTTTCCTTTATTTAGATCCATCTCAACATTGAAATGAGTAGAAAGTATTCATTTACATAAATAAATTTTTCTTTGTTTTTGTTTAAATCAATCTCAACAACAAAAGGAAAGGTAAGTAATATTTTAGAAAAAAAAGACAATTTTATATGATTTACAGCCGGCACAAACGACATGGAATGGCGCTAATTAGCCTAGTGGGATATCCCAATTCTTCTTGTTAACATGCTATTTCTATAATGCATATTAAAAAAATAGAATTGGGCATTGGGTCACACTAAACAGTTACATCGATATATATATATATTACGCATTATAAAATGAAAAGCTAATGAATGAAGCATCGATGCTGCAGATGATATCTGGTTTACATATAGAAATCTTACAGGACCTCATCGGATCCGACGGGATCTGAGTCCGGGATTTTTCGTCCTGGGTTGGTATTAAAATGTAACCAAGATATGACACTACAACATACCATGGTCAGATTTTTCGATTTTTTTTCTAGGTTGTATTTCTAGAAAACTCATCTGATAAAGTACGGAAAACCAAAAGATGTGAATCCAGAAAGATTAGTTTGTCAACAAACATCAAAAGAAACATAAAAAACTTCAACTCTATTAGACTGTATAGCTACTCTTTTGCCTTCATTGTGACACCAAGCCGAGCTTTTCACCATTCAAAATGGCGGGCAAGTTTGGAATACACGAAAATATTCCAATCAAAAACTCTCATTATGAGAAAAGCGCAAAATAACTTTCAACACTGAAAAGCAAGACTTTTTCTTTTATAAACTGATATAAAAGAAATCTTCAAGTAATTTGTCATAGATCAAAGAGTATTTTCAAATAATCTAAAATTGTTTAAAGCTTGTGGTACTCATCATGATTGAGAATATGACAAAGAAAAGTTTATTAAAAATAAGAAAGTAGCCAATGATTCATAGACTACATTACATTGGCGGACTAACAATGAAAGGTTTTTGACTTGTTGCTTAGCCCATGTAGATGCAGTTACAAATCAATGTCTATTATTTTCATTTTATTTTGTGCTCTTTCACGTTGAAGTGTTATTTTCATTTATCATGTATAGCGACGCATGATAGCCATATCTATCGCTGGCAAAAGCCAGCAAAGAAGCTGGAAAGACTTTTAGACGAACTTTTTTTTAGAAAAAAAATATTATTTTCTTCTGTATGAGAGTTCAAAAAAATCTATGTAATATCTTTAAACTTCATCATAAAATAAATAAACTATGGTACATTCGAAGGAAAATACTTTGCTTTATCTAAGGAGCTATAAATCAAAAAATTGATAGATTACACTTAAATTGGTTTTTTCTGGGGGAAAGATTCCCTTAAATAAATCGTAGCGCATGTTTGAGAACATAAATCGACTTGAATTTCAAATTATGTTTGAATAATCACTTAATTGGAGAAAGGAAAGATGCATAGCTAAACGATGAATGTAGAATAACCAACATCGGTCTATATGCATAATTCAAAAAGAAAAAAACTCACTTCTTCTGAAGAATAATTATGCTTCCAGTTTTACATAATGGCGCTCCTATTTATGTGAAGCATGATGTGTGTTCTCTTCTTTGATTAAAAAAAAAAAGTTATTTTCTTTTTCGAATGACAATGTGTATAATATGTTTCTCTTTTGTCCATATAATTAACCAAAAAAATAATAAGGCTTACTTACTTCATTGTAAACAGTGGAATGAAGATATAGTAAGGTTTCTCATATCTTTGTCTTTTCGATTAAAGGAAGGCAAACTCAAATCAAAAGCTCTGAATTAACTCTGTCTGCATATTCATCAAGTCCTTAGAATAACGTTGAAATCATTTAGGCTTTTTGCTGTCAGGTACAACTTAAGTATCTGAAATGTCTGACAGGATTTTATGGGAATGCCTTGGGTTTCACCAGAATCTGACACACAGGATTTTCGATCCTGTTTGATCACGATGATTATTGAACGGAACATCTTAAATTGAATTAAAAACAACAGTTAAACAGTCTGTACTCTTCCAGTCGATTTCTTTTTTTCCCTAGCAACATGGTCGATTCATTAAGAAGTTATTGCCCAAAAATAATTGAAAATTTCCGAAAGATGGGTAGAGACAACAGGACAGCAAATTTTGATGACCCAGAAC